CTCCACGGCATGTGGGATCTTCCCGGACCGGGGCACGAACCCGTGTCCCCTGCATCGGCAGACGGACTCTCAACCACTGTGCCACCAGGGAAGCCCGAAGTCTTATACTGTAGTAAAAATGAATGAACTACAGCTACAGTTAATAATATAGATAAATCTCACAGAATTTTGAGCAAAAGTCCCACAAAAAAAGATACATACAGAGAGGGAGGGAGGGAAAGAGGAAGGAAGGAAGGAAGGAAGGAAGAAAAGGAGTGTGTTTTTTTTTACCAAATAAATCTGTATTTAGTACAAGTTTAAATGGTAAAAAAAATTTTTTAAGGAATTTTTTACCCCAAAAGTCAGGAGAGTAGTGGTTATCTTTGGGAAAGGGGGGAGAAATAATTAGAAGGAGTTTTGAGGGGGCCTATGGGAGGCTGATTATATTCCATTTCTTGACCTGGATGGTAGTCACATACGGTGTTCATGTTGATCAATAGGCTATATGAGGTTTTTCTACGTATTCTTTACATGTTATATTTCATAGTAAAGCTTAAAAATATGATAGTTGGGACTTCCCTGGCGGTCCAGCGGTTAAGACTCTGCACTTCCACTGCAGAGGGTGCGGGTTCGATCCCTGGTTGGGGAACTAAGATCCTGATGCTGTGTGGTGCAGCCAAAAAATTAAAAAATAATAATAATAAATTAAAAATATGACAGTTGTTTATATTACTGAGGTAATGGAAACAGAGAGGTAGATGGACTTAAGAGATATTTAGAAGGTAAAATCAACATGAGTTGGTGAGGAAGGGAATATGGAGAAAGGAAAGGGTGAGGGTTATATTTAGGATCCTTCTTGGGTTTCTGATTTAAGGGTCTATATTGTTGGTGGTATACTCCTTGCTATAAGGTAAACTGGAGAATGAAGGGAGATACCAAATTCAGTTTTGAACACAAATAAAAGCCAATTCTTTATGGACTTCAAATCATTAAAATAACATCATCAAATCAAGTAATTGTCTTTCAGAGACAATAGATTAGTCAAATACCCTAATTCTGCAGTGAAAGAGGACAGAAAAGATACATAGTCTTTCAATGGTCTGGAATGGAGTCACAGACCTCCAAACACAAGGGAGCAGCACAGAAAACAGAAGTACTAAGTCTAGCAGATAAGAGGAAGGCAAGGAGGAAAGAGAGTATCTGACCTAGTAACATTCTTTCTTCATCTAGATACTTTACTCAAGTTCTTCTACTTTCTGAAATTATCCCCTGGTACCTTTCATGCCTAAGCTTAAAACTGCCTTGGGGGAAGGCCTCTCTAATAATTGCTCTTCTCACATTAAAACTGGCCTTGTTCAGGCTTTCCTCATCTTGCTGTAGACTTATCAGTCTCCTAGTTGGTCACCCTAACTCCCGTCTTGCCCTCATTCAGTTCCTCCATCCTCCATACCGCCCCCCGAGAGTGACATGTCTAAAACAAAAACCCCCAAGGTAGAATACAAGAACCTTCCATTAGACAAGATTTCTAGTCTAAAGTAAAGAGTTCTCAATTTAAAATCTACACCAGGGACTTCCCTGGTGGCGCAGTGATTAAGAATCCGCCTGCCAATGCAGGAGACACGGTTCGAGCCCTGGTCCGGGAAGATCCCACATGCCACGGAGCAACTAAGCCCGTGTGCCACAACTACTGAGCCTGAGCTCTACTGAGCCTGAGCTCTAGAACCCACAAGCCACACTGCTGAACCCAAATGGCACGACTACTGAAGCCCGTGGGCCTAGAGCCTGTGCTACGCAACAAGAGAAGCCACCGCAATGAGAAGCCCGCGCACCGCTACGAAGAGTAGCCCCCGCTCGCCGCAACTAGAGAAAGCCCACACACAGCAACGAAGACCCAACACAGCCAAAAATAATTAATTTAAAAAGTAATAAAATAAAATAAAATCTACAGCAGCCAAACTACCTGTATTTCTTCTAACGTGATAAGTTATTTCACATCTCGATGCCTTTGCTCACGATTGCTCCTTCTTTCTAAAACGTCTTTCCTCCTACTTTCCAACTACCCATAATCTGATTAAGATTCATCTCAAGCATCACTACTCTATAATGCCCTTCTAGGCCCGTGCTCCCAAGTACAATTGATTACCCTCTTCTTTAAAGTTATATCATAACCCGTCTCAGATTTCGTAGCACCTATAACATTGTATTATTATCCATTTTTTGTCTAATCTACCCAACTAGACTCAGGTCAGGGATCATATATTAATCTCTGTATCATCAACATGAAGCACAAGGCCTGGCACAGAATTAGAATTCAGAACACTTAGAGTGAATAAAAAAAATAAACAAATGAATAACTCAAGGCCTTACCATCTATATATCACATATATATTTGATCTACCAACTATACTACTGGCCCTTAAAGGACAAAGAACATGTCTCACGGTTCCCAACATCCTCCACAGCAACTAACACAGTAGTATAAGTGAAGAACCCCTCATGTGAAATATTAACAAGTTCAGCTACAGAAAACCTTGAATGAGAAAAGCAGAAGCCAAAGTAGTTATCTACTAAAATACAAGATACCATATTTCTGTATAAAATAGAAGAATAAAAAAACACTATAGTCATCAATCTAGAACTGGACCCATTTATCATCCCTCCTCCTTTCCTCTGGGGCTAGAATCTGCTAGACTAATGCACACAGCATGGCCTGGTTAAAGAGCTTGGGGTCTGACATCAGAATGCCTGAGTCCAATTTTTCTTTTAGACATGGTAACGGTATTGTGATTATGTTTTTAAAAAGAGTCTTTATTGTTTAGAGATACAAACTGAAATTTATGAATAAAATGATATGATGCCAGGAATTTGTTTTCACAAGAATCTGGTAGAGGGTGAGAGTGGAGGAAATGGAAGTGGACAGTAGGAGTGGGGGTGGGAATAAAACAAATTTAGACATAAAATGATAATTGTTGAAGATGGGTAATGAGTACATGGGAATTAAACTATTCTCTCTAATTGTATACATAGTTGAAATGTTCCATGACAAAAAGTTGAAAACAAAATTCCATACAGTCCAGCAATTCCACCCCTGGGTATTTATCAGAAGAAAACAAAAATACTAATTCCAAAAGATATACACACCCCTATGTTTGTTGCAGCATTATCACAGCCAAGATTCGGAAGCAACGTTAAGTGCCCATCGATAAATGAATGGATAAAGAAGACGTGATTTATATATACAATGGAATATTACTCAGCCATAAAAAAAGAATGAAACCTTGCCATTTGCGACAACATGGATGGACCGAGAGGGTATTATGCTAAGTGAAATAAGTCAGAGAAAGACAAACACCATATGATTTCAGTTACATGTGGAATCAACAAAACAAAACAAATGAATAAACACAACAAAACAGAAAGAGAGTCATAGATATCGAGATACATAGGTGTTTGCCAGAGGGGAAGGGGTTGGGGGGGAGGAGAGAAATAGATGAGGAAGCTTAAGAGATATAAACTTCCAGTTGCAAAATAAATGAGTCATGGGTATGAAATGTACAGGGTGGGGAATATAGTCAATAACTATTTAATATTTTGTATGGTGACAAATCATAACTCAACTTATTGTGGTGAACATTTTGAAATGTATGGAAATACTGAATCACTATACTGTGTAACAGGAACTAACATAGTGTTGTAGAAAACAAGGCATTTTACAAAACAACTGACCAAATTTCTTTAACAGGTCAATGTCACCAAAATAATAAAAATTGTTCTAGATTTTTAAAAAAGCAAATGCCATATGTGGAGACAGTTTGCATTTCGATTTGAACAAATCAACTATAACAAGATATTTGGGGAACAACTAGAGAAATGTGAATATGGACCATTTGTTAGATGACGTTAATTTTACTTGAGATGCTTAGATGGTTATATTTTTTAAGTGTCCCTTTGTAAGAGGTATTTACTGAACTATTTAGGGAAAAGTATTATGATACTTTAAAAAAACTTCAGGAAAACAAACTGAGCAAATTTGACAAAATATTAATAACTATTTAATCCCAAAGATGGGTATTTGGCAGTTCATACAGTATTCTCTACTTTTCTATAAGCTCAATAATTTTCATACTAAAGTTTAAAATCCGAAGTCATCTGTGATTCAAATATTTGAAAATTATTTCTTCTTTTACTTCAGATCTTACTTACAAATAAAAACTGAAAAATAAACCATTTTACAAATTTCATTTTCTGCTTAAAATATTTCCTCTATTTAACTATGCATGAATTGATGTTTTTTTCTAACCCATGAAAATAGAGAAATAAAATGCCACTTAGCTAAAAAAGTTAAAAAAAAAAAGGACTATTGCAGTTAGATATGAGGGCCTTGAATTAAAGCAGTAACAGCAGAATGAGAGGACTATATGCCAGAGACAAATCTGGTTACAGAAGGGTCATGGTTGAAGTTAACTCCTCCTTTGTGCTCCAACGCAGTCTCAGTACTCTGAGCAATTTGATGCATTTTATCATTCACATCTGTTTCCATCTAGATACTGTAACTTTTTTTTTTTTTTTTGACTGCATTGGGTCTTCTTTGCTGTGTGTGGGCTTTCTCTAGTTGCCGCAAGCAGGAGCTACTCTTCATTGCAGTGCATGGGCTTCTCAATGCAGTGGCATCTCTTGCTGTGGAGCACCGGCGCCAGGCGCGCAGGCTTCAGTAGTTGTGGTGCACAGGCTTAGTTGCTCCACAGCATGTGGGATCTTCCCGGACCAGGGCTGGAACCCGCGTCCCCACTCTGCCACCAGGGAAGCCCATGAAAGCTTCTGATAATAGGATCTTTTTGGACCTTTTGGATCTTTTTTATCTCTGTATCCACAGTGCCTAGCACATGGAAGACACTCAGTAAAAGACTGTTGAATGAATACTTATTATTTATTTTGCATATTAACCTATTCTGCAGACACATGATACAACTCCTATACATACTCCCATACACACTCTCATCAGGTCCTCAAGACCTTCTTACCTTGTAATAATGTTCCAAGAGAATCCTGACTACTCCCTCCACACTTTCTGCCTCCACAGGCTTCCTGGCAAACTGAAGTAGGTACTGCAAAGCATCTGCTGGGGAGGTAGCCTTACACAGATCTATGTGGAGTGCTGCAGATTTACTTGGTTTTGTCAGTCGGAGTTTCTTAGTGGCAATTTCCTCCTGCTGTTGCTGCAAGAGGGTAGGAAAGATAAAACATGAAAACTTGACTGAAAACAGAGAGTTGCAAATTTAACTTTACCTTGTTTGATGGAAATAATTTTTCCTATACCAAAATAATGTATTTAGGTAACAGACCCAGCTTAAACAAAAAGCAGTGTTATGAACTGGGAAAGGAGCCAACTGGAGACAAAGCTATGAGTCCCAATTTTGCTTTTCACTAGCTCCTACAGCTTTGGGTAAGTTATTTAACTTCTCTAAGTCTCAGTTTCTTTCTCTGTAAAGTAGGTCCACGAATATTTTGTTCTGCCTATCTCTTAGGATTGTTGTAGCTTTAGGGTTAAGAGGACACACAAAGGATCTGCTCCACTCCTTATTAGAAAAGAAATCTCAATTCGACAAATATATTCAGACTGTGCTGAGGCACTTACTAGGCTCACCTTGCCTCCTAAGAAAACTACAACTGATGGGAATGGTCTGCAGCTTACACTGAGGACAAAAATCTTCCTCTCATAACGGATGACTATTTTCACCCAAATCATTCTACCTTTGTTAGAAGGATGGTCAGTATAGGAAAGAAATACATTGCCATATGCCTAGCAAACTGCAGCTACTTAACAAATATTTACTGAATGATTGATTTGGAATTAGAAGTTGTCTCTGATTCCAACTCTGCTGCTCTATTCTAAGTATGTCATGATTCACATTTTTATCATCCATAAAAAACAGAAATGATGACCTACCACTAGTCTATCTCAATCAGGGATCCTCATCTGAACCACAGAACACACAAAATTAGCTGAGTAACTATTTTCTCAACTTTCCCAAGGATGGTGCCTAACTAGAACTATTCTAGATGCATCTGTTACATATGATGAGTGCCAAAAAGTTCACGTAAAAGGGAACCTGTTACTCCAGGGCTTACGTAAGGCCCTGGTGTGTAGATATAGAGAAGATCACAACAGAAGATAAAAGTTGTAATCAACAGTAATCATCAGAAAACTACTAGAGCTAATCAACGAACTTGGTAAAGTTGTAGGATACAAAATTAATGCACAGAAATCACTTGCATTCCTATACACTAAAAATGAAAGATCAGAAAGAGAAATTAAGGAAACAATCCCATTCACCATTGCAATAAAAAGAATAAAATACCTAGGAATAAACCTACATAAGGCGGTAAAAGACCTATACTCAGAAAACAGCAAGACACTGATGAAAGAAATCAAAGATGACACAAACAGATGGAGAGATATACCATGTTCTTGGATTGGAAGAATCAACACTGTGAAAATGACTATACTACCCAAAGCAATCTACAGATTCAATGCAATCCCTATCAAATTACCAATGGCATTTTTCACAGAACTAGAACAAAAAAATCTTAAAATTTGTATGGAGACACAAAAGACCCTGAATAGCCAAAGCAATCTTGAGAAAGAAAAAATGGAGCTGGAGGAATCAAGATTCCCTGACTTCAGACTATACTACAAAGCTACAGTAATCAAGACAATATGGTACTGGCACAAAAACAGAAATATAAATCAACGGAACAGGATAGAAAACCCACAGATAAACCCACGCACCTATGGTCGACTAATCTATAACAAAGGAGGCAAGGATATACAATGAAGAAAAGACAGTCTCTTCAATAACTGGTGCTGGGAAAACTGGACCGCTACAGGTAAAAGAATGAAATTAGAACACTCCCTAACACCATACACAAAAATAAACTCAAAATGGATTAAAGACCTAAATGTAAGGCCAGACACTATCAAACTCTTAGAGAAAAACATAGGAAGAACACTCTGACATAAATCACAGCAAGCTCTTTTTTGACCACCTCCTAGAGTAATGGAAATTAAAAAAAAAAATAAACAAATGGGACCTAATGAAACTAAAAAGCTTTTGCACAGCAAAGGAAACTATAAACAAGATGAAAAGACAACCCTCAGAATGGGAGAAAATATTTGCAAACGAATCAATGGACAAAGGATTAATCTCCAAAATATATAAACAGCTCATGCAGCTCAATATTAAAAAAACAAACAACCCAATCAAAAAATGGGCAGAAGACCTAAATAGACATTTCTCCAAAGAAGACATACAGATGGCCAAGAAGCACATGAAAAGCTGCTCAACATCACTAATTATTAGAGAAATGCAAATCAAAACTACATGAGGTATCACCTCACACCAGTTAGAATGGGCATCATCAGAAAATCTACAAACAAATGCTGAAGAGAGTGTAGAGAAATGGGAACCCTCTTGCACTGTTGGTGGGAATGTAAATTAATACAGCCACTATGGAGAACAGTATGGAGTTTCCTTAAAAAACTAAAAATAGAATTACCATATGACCCAGCAATCCCACTACTGGGCATATACATGGAGAAAACCATAATTCAAAGACACATGCACCCCAATGTTCACTGAAGCACTATTTACAATAGCCAGGTCATGGAAGCAACCTAAATGCCCACAGACAGACGAATGGATAAAGAAGATGTGGTACATACATACAATGGAATATTACTCAGGCATAATAAGGAACGAAACTGGGTCATTTGTAGAGACATGGATGGACACAGAGACTGTCATACAGAGTGAAGTAAGTCAGAAAGAGAAAAACAAATATCGTATATTAACGCATATATGTGGAATCTAGAAAAATGGCACAGATGAATCAGTTTGCACACAGAAATGGAGACACAGATGCAGAGAACAAACGTATAGACACCAAAGGGGGAAAGGGGTGAGGGGTGGTGGTGGGATGAATTGGGAGATTGGGATTGACATATATACACTAATACATATAAAAAAGATAATAACCTGCTGTATTAAAAATAAAATTCAAAAAAAATTTTTTCCTTAACACTTGATGCATCATAATGATACCTTGAGCAATCACCTCTTTACAAATTTACACTTCTACAGAGAAGAGACTAGGATTATTCTAGACAGGAACATGGCATGGCATAATAAAAAGACCAAGGGCTTTGAAGTCAGAGGAATCTGAGTTCAATTACCACTTACTAGCTAGAGGAGGCCTTCTCCTTCTTCTATAAAAAGGAATACAATACCTACATCATAGGGATATTTAAGAAGTCTAAAGTATAATGTCTTTATTGTGCAAACACATAATAAGCACTAGATACATATCAGTTCTCTCTCCCTCATCTTCATAGCAGAGGAAAAATAAGAGAAGCAGTAAGATCTCATTTCATCACTCCATGGTAACCATGCATGAACAATGAAGTGAAGAAATGAGCTCTTCTCTTAAAATCCTTACCAATTTCCATCCTATTCCACACAAATTTGGTCTTCAGTGTTATCTGGGCTGCAATTAGGTCAAAAGATTGGAAAGATTTTTTTCCCTAGGGAGTATATAAGGAGAAGGACAGACCAATATCTGCTATCATTCAACCATCTATAACATTTTAGTGAGCCACGCCTTATGGTCTATCCAGGGAACACAGATGAACCACGCATCATCTCTGCCCTCGAGGAGCCCAAACTGGTGGGGAGATATGTAAACTAGTAATTATAGTAGCACTCAGTGATAAGTACAAATAGATGAGTGCTACAGAAGCAGGGGAGGAGAGACTAAAGCAAAAATATAAGTCCACTGAGTGGAGAACAAAGAGAGAGGGAAGCATGACATCCATTCTATGTAAAGGAAACAACAGATACAAAAGTTTGGAGAGGTGCAAACACGTGGCATGCTGGAGGAGGGGTGAGTAGTCTTGGTAAGGGGGAACAACAGAATACTGGAAAGAAAGGAAGTGACATTTCACAACAAAGTGAAAGTAGTTAATGCCACTGAACCCTACACTTAAAAAATGGTTAAAATGATAAATTCTGTGTTATATATATTTTGCCACAATTTTTTAAAAAGGGGGGCAAACGAAACAGAGCCAGGAAATCCCAAAAAGCAAGCCACAGAAGAGGGAGCTCTGTGAAGTCAGAAAGCTTTCCTGAATGTTGACTCATTTTAAAAGTTGAGGAAGGACTTCCCTGGTGGCGCGGTGGTTGAGAGTCTGCCTGCCGATGCAGGGGACACGGGTTCGTGCCCCGGTCTGGGAAGATCCCACATGCAGCGGAGCAGCTGGGCCCGTGAGCCATGGCCGCTGAGCCTGCGCGTCCAGAACCTGTGCTCCGCAAGGGGAGAGGCCACAACAGTGGGAGTCCCGCGTACCGCAAAAAAAAAAAAAAAAAAAAAAAAGTTGAGGAAAACTAATTTCACATAAAAAGGAGCAACAAAAGAGTGTTAAGGTAAATATCAAAGTTATTTTCAGAAAAAAACAAGAATAAGAAGCAAACTAACTTCCCTACACACAATGGGAATACGTCACAAAGTGTCCACAAAACAAAAAAGGCAGTGATACAGCTAGAAGGAATACTGTTAAATCACAAAGAGCTAGGAAGTTTGGCTAGGGAGTTTTTACAAAAAGAAATAGCTGTTAAAAAAAAAAGGGTTGGGAGGGGGCTTCCCTGGTGGCACAGTGGTTAAGAATCCGCCTGCCAATGCAGGAGACACAGGTTCGAACCCTGGTCCAGGAGGATCCCACACGCCACGGAGCAACCAAGCCCGTGCACCACAACTACTGAGCCTGCTCTCTACAGCCTGCAAATCACAACTACTGAGCCCGTGTGCCACAACTACTGAAGCCCGCGCGCCTAAAGCCCGTGCTCCGCAACAAGAGAAGCCACCACAGTGAGAAGCCCGCGCACCGCAACGGAGTAGCCCCAACTCGCCGCCAACTAGAAAAAGCCCAAGACCCAACGCAGCCAACAATAAATAAATAAATAAATTTATTTATTTATTTAAAAAAACAAGTAGCTGTAAAAAGAGGAAGACTTGATTTGTCGATGCAATTACCTCTTTGCACTACAATCACAGATATGCCGTTCCGTATCTCCCACTCGCCTGTGAGTTCCTAAAGGACAGGGACCCTACTGTGTATTGGACTTTGTAGCTCAGCACCTTTTACCATACCTAATACGTAGTAACCACACTTTTACTCAGTAAACTCTTGTTGAAGGAATAAATGAAATGTTTAAGGATCAGTGTCCTGCTGGATGGTCTAAAGCTTGCTATTCCACAAGTCTGTGGATGGAAGGATGCTACTGACTGGCATCAATTGAGGGCTTCTCAGAAGTGCAGATTATTGCCTCACCTCCCCGGCCCGATTTACTTACTGAGTGGAATCTACATTTTAAAAAGACCCCAGGTGATTTGGATACACAAAGTCTGAGAAGCACGACACAAGGTATGACGTGGGATCAACCTCTACTTCAGCTATATATATGAGGAAATACAAGGAGAATCACTAACTGCTAACACGGGTTTGGCCCACCAGTCCTTAAACAACTCTAAAGGAGGAAGGTATTGCCCTCCTCCCTAGGTGAACTGTTCCACCAATGGAAAGTTCCACCCCTATGAAGCCTGTGACCCTCGCCTGCTCTGACTGGGTCTTGAGGATTTCTATAGGCTCCTCTTCCAATCCCTTGAGCTCTGCATACAGCCAACTTGTCCCTGGGCGCTTTTTTTGTAACGGGAGTTGGGAGGCAATTTGCCACTAACTGGCTCATACTCCACCAGAAGCCTCAAAGTCCTCATCTGTAAAATGAGGATGCTAATGTAATACGAATAAAATGAAGTAACGAATAAAATATTTTCGTAGATTGTAAAGCGCTGTTTGTTTCTTCTAATAATTTTTTAGTGTCAGACTGCACGTATTAATGCTGACAACAACAGCGGCAAACGACACGCCCACTAAAGTGTAGCCTCAGAGACGCTGCCTACCAAAGCAGTAGGCATTCAACCCAGCTTTGTGGCGCCTGGTCTGGCAAAGTGCCTGGAGCGTGGAGAACCTTCCCCTACCCCAGACAGGTGCCGGGACCTTTCCTTCCAGAGCTTACCTGAACCACCTTAGTGAATTCCTCGTACACCCGCTTCTTGAGGTGCGCCGCCATGGCCGTCCGCGGACCCTCTCAGCTTCCGTACCCGAGGAGGGAGGTGGAGCGGAGGAGTCCGGAAAACCTGCCCAGGCCGGAGGAACCAGCCACGGTCCCACAAGGCAGTGGGGTTCCGGAAAAGAGAGGCCGCTTCCGGCTGCTCGACTGTCCTGTCGCTGTGCCGCTGGATTTGGTCGCCTACGCCACCTGCGCCGGAGAAAGGTAAGCCAGAGCGAGAGCGTAGCGCAGGGGGCGGGGCTTCTGGTGGGAGGAGCCGGGTGGGAAAGGCTAAAGGAGCCAATGGGGGATTTGGGGAGCTTGCTGTTGATCTGAGTGACGGAGAGACTGGCGGGGGAACTGAGCCCAGGGAGGGAGGAAGTACTATCGGGTAAAGGGCAGAGGTAGAGCTTTCCAGAGCTAGAGACAAAACCTGGAGCTGTGTAAGGATTTTGACTCAGGAGATAAGGGAAGGAGGTCAAACTGACGTTCGCATCATCCATTGCTGTTCACAGTATTTGCCATCTGTATGTTGCCTGCACTCTCCTCTTGGTCAAGCCATTACTGGAAAAGTGGTTCACCTTAGTGAACCCAAAAGACACGACTAAGCCAAAGTTAGGAATAAGGAAGGATATATTACTTGCAGCAAGTAAGGAAAACAAAGAATCTTCCCCAATGCATTGTCTCTCCAAACAGGAAAATTGGGGAAGCGTTAAGCTAAGGGAGCGTACATATTCATGAAGGGGCTTGAGCAGAGGAGAATTCATCGTAGAATTGGGGCAGAGGTCAACAGAGTCCAGGCTTTAGTTGATTGAAGTCAGGAGGGTCGACATCATCATTCCATCCTCCACCTAGGTCTGGAGCCTTAGTTCCTGTAGAACCCAAAGACATGTATCAGATTGTTATGTATATGCCTTGGGGAGAAACTTGTTTCTTTTTTTTTTGCCATGGCTCATGGCATGCGGGATATTAGTTCCCCAACCGGGGATCGATCCTGCACCCCCTGCAGTGGAAGCTCTGAGTCTTAACCACTGGACCACTGGGGAAGTCCCAGAAACTTGTTTCTTGACTGCTTTTCCTTTGTTCCTGCATTCCCTCACTTAATTAATTACCGAGACCTATTCAAGGACAAATGTGGTCAGGCTTAGGTCACAAAATGGCTTAGGCCAAAAATTGCTTCCCTTATGTCAAGAAAGCCATGCCTGGTTCTTTCTCTGGGGCCCCCCTACCCTACCTGCTTACAGAAAGCTGGTTGCCACCACCCCCACCCCTGCCCCAGCCTAGGGTACTTCTCCCTGCTTTCTCACTCCAATTGTTCAAAAGCTACCTATCCTTTAAGGACTCAAGCCATCCTCTGACAGCTAGGGGAGAGTGGAAAGAATTCTGAGGCCAAGGGTTAAGCAACAAAGCTTCAGACAACTCAGATGGGATTGAACCCAGCCGAAACTCACACTTGGATTTGAACCCATGGGCTGGGACTTTTACTCAGCCAAAACTCTGACTGGGACTCAAACCCACTGTCTTTTAATTAAAATTGCTCACCTGGTGTCAGGACTTACTGAAGCTCAGGTTCTTTATGTCTTAGCGCAGAAGGAATTCAGCGAGAGGCAATGCAATATGGAAGACGTGGATTATTTAGAGAGGTACAACATCCCATAGACAGAATGCAGTCCATCTCAAAAAGTGAGAGCAGTGGTGGGAGAAACACACTCCACAGAGTGTGAGGCATCTCAGAAGATGAGAGGCCCTGAAATATGGGGTAGATGGTTTTTGTGGGCTGAGTAATTTCATAGGCTAGTGAGTGGGAGGATTATTCAACTGTTTGGGGGAAGGGATGGGGATTTCCAGGAATTGGGCCACTGCCCACTTTTTGGCCTTTTATGGTCTGCCTTAGAACTGTAGGCGCCTGTAGGTATGTCATTTGGCATATGCTAATGTATTACAATGAGCATATAATGAGGCTCAAGGTCTACTGCCATCTTGGACCTAGTTGATTCTAACCAGTTTATGTCATATCCTCAATGGCTATGTCATTCTTTTTGTTTGTTTGTTTTTTCGCTGCACCACGTGGCTTGCAGGATCTTAGTTCTCTGACCAGGGATTGAACCCAGGCCACAGCAGTGGAAGCCCAGAATCCTAACCATTAGGCCACCAGGGAACTCCTGGCCATGTCATTCTTTTAAAGGTTGTGCCCTGCCCCCTTCCCTCCTGTTTCACTACGACTAGCACTTAATGAACAAGTAGCCTCAACTACAATTGCACTAACACCTAGCCTGACAAAGATGTAGTGACAGTGTAATGAAATAACGCAGAAACATTTTGCACAGTAAAGTATGGTTCACGGGGCTTCCCTGGTGGTGCAGTGGTTGAGAGTCCGCCTGCCGATGCAGGGGACACGGGTTCATGCCCCGGTCTGGGAAGATCCCACATGCTGTGGAGCAGCTAGGCCCGTGAGCCATGGCCGCTGAGCCTGTGCGTCCAGAGCCTGTGCTCCACAATGGGAGAGGCCACAACAGTGAGAGGCCTGCATACTGCTGGGCCTCTGCTGCCCGCATCAGCAGGCGGACTCTCAACCACTGCGCCACCAAGGAAGCCCTATTTTTTTTATTATAGCTACATCTGAGTAAATGGGGTAACTGGCAATACCAAGAAGTTTCTTTGCTATACTTTTTTCATCATAAAATAAGCTCCTTAGTCAGAAGCAATGTGTGAGATACCATGAAAATGAATAAGGTATCCATGAATGCTAGGGCTGGCAGAAACATTGCAGTTAGGTATCATTAGGGTTCTTCGGGAAAACAGAACCAATAGGATATATAGAGATATTAGGATACTATAACAGAATACCGTATACTGAGTGGCTTATAAACAACAGAAATTTATTTCTCACAGTTCTGGAGGCTGGGAAGTCCAAGGTCAAGGTGCTGTCAGATTCAGTGTCTGGTGAGAGCTCACTTTCTGGTTCAAAGATAGCTGTCTTCTCTCCCTGTCTCACATGGTTGAAGAGGCAAAGGGGCTCTCTGGGGTCTGTTTTATAAGGGCACTAACCCCATTCATGAGGGCTCCATCCTCAGGACCTAATCACCTCCCAGAGGCCTGACCTCCTAATACCATCACACTGAGGATTAGGATTTCAACATATGAATTTGGAAATGGAGGTGGGGGGGGGGGGGGGGTGACACAAACATTGTCTATAGCAGTAGAAAAGTCAAATCTGAATCTGGGATATGTATCTATTCCTATGTGGTTAAATCACCACTCCCTCCCTGATGGAAAGGATAAAGCATATGGTAGCATGATTTGTAAAAAATGGCCCCAATTTTTCCTCTCTCTGTATGTAAATCCTTTGAAGTGTAGCTCTAGAGCTGCTTCCATTAAGAGATGGAATCTCTATCCCCACTCTTTGAATTGGGCTGGCCTTGTGCCTGGCCAGTAGAATACAGCAGAAGTTACAGTGTGCTAGTTTTGAACCTAGGCCTCAAGGTCCACCCACATACCAGTTCTTCAGGTCTATTGTTTGATTTTGGAAACCTACCATTGCCATGAGAATAAGTCCAACCTAATCTACTGGAGAGTAAATGACCACATGGAACAAAGCCAGGTTGACCCAGCTGAGGCTATTTCAGACCAGCCTCACCCCAGTTGATCCCCCATCTGACTACAGATGCATGAGTGAGATCAAATAAGACCAGAAGAACTGCCCAATTTATAGGCTATGAGAAATAATTAATGGTTATAGTTTTAAGGTATTAAGTTTGGGGGTCAAGAGGTTGTCATGTGGTTAGACAATTCCTAAGCTGCTAACTTCCATAGAGTCAGCTGGTAAGGAGAAAACAAGCCCAAATAGATTTAGGCAGCTTATCATTCACAGCATAGCAGGCAGCATGAATTTCATGTTTGTATTAGTTCTCCTTGCCCTCTAAACACCATGGGAGCAATGCAGGTGAATGACATGCACAGTAGATCTGTAGCACAGATGAAGAACACTGAGCTTAGGAAACGCTCAATCTTAAAGAAGGAATGCTAGCAAACCTGCCCTCTGGAGAGAGACAATATCGGTGTTTTTTTCCCCCAACATTATCTTTATTATACTGGTCAGGAAACGAATTTTCCTGCCAACCCAGTGGGAAACATTTTTATCACCCTGAAATGTCTCCAGGATTGGAGGGTGAAACTAGCTTTATTACCCTGTAATGAAATAAATCTGCATCCTAACCCTAGGCAGCTTTGCAAACATCCTCAAAGCTGTCAATGCCATTTGCTTAGAAATGCCAGCATTTCTCCCAACAGTCTGTTACAGTGCAATACAGCTAACTGATTTGCAGGATTATCTGCCTACCACCAAGAAGTATCTAGTCCCCCGGTGGGAATAATACCATATCAGGGACTCAGTGTTGGTCTCTGCTGTTGGACATCCATCATTGACCAGGTCAGCTTTGGCAAGAGGAACTATACCACAGAGCCCACGCACAGACTCCATCCCTACCATCATGGCCACCTTTCTCATGACTCCGTTGAGCTCTGGGGAAAGAGGCTGACTGGCACGCACAGTTTTTTTTTGTTGTTTGTTTGTTTGTTTTTATATTTATTTATTTAGGTTGCGCCGGGTCTTAGTTGCGGCATGCAGGATCTTTTTTTAGTTGCGGTATGTGGACTTCTTAGTTGCGGCATGCATGCGGGATCTAGTTCCCCGACCAGGGATGGATCCGGGGTACCCCCCGCATTGGGAGCACGGAGTCTTACCCACTGAACCACCAGGGAAGTCACAGGAATGCACAGTTTGGATCGTTGTGTCCATTTATGTTTTGAAAGCCTCTTCTAGAATGGGTGCCCTCTGGTGGGCATTCATAGGAAACACAAATATTTTCACCATTCCAAGACATTCATCTACATGCCAACATCCCAGGCCTTCTTGTCCCCAATCTTCCACTCTCATACTTTCCAAGGCTTTGGCCAACCAGGAAGGGGCCTGGACATGCAGTACCTAGAGATCAGTCTTCCAGGACACTGAGCACAGCAGAAAAGGGAAAAGAATGAATGGAAAGGGGGGCAGGGAAGACAAGGAAAATAAGTAGAAGAAAAATAAAAGAGGTGCTCTAAGAAAACAATGAGACCTGAAAACCTGGCACAGTGCTATGAAGTAGGGTGTCTCCATGAGGGCAATCTCAAAGGTTTTACTGTGTGTTTTTCCTTTGGATTATAGTGACAGTTATATTTAGCATTCAGTTTTAACTTTTTCTCCTCTGACTCTATAATTTTCTTTAGTTAATCCCAACAGATCTGAAAAGCCACATATACCCCTACAAATGAATAGAGGTGGTGTTTTTTTTATTGAGGTATAGTTGATTTACAATTTTATATTAGTTTCAGGTGTACAGCATAGTGATTCAATATTTTTATAGATTATACTCCATTCAAAGTTATTACAAAATAATGGCTATATTTCCCTGTGTTGTACAGTATATCCATGTTGTTTATTTATTTTATACATAGTAGATTTTATCTCTTAATCCTATACCCCCCCCCCCTTTTTTTTTTTTTAACCCTTTGGCCACACTGCACAGCATGAGGGATCTTAGTTCCCCCAACCAGGGACCAAACCCACACCCCCTGCAGTGGAAGCAAGGAGTCTTAACCACTGGACCACCAGGGAAGTCCTTCCCATACCTCTATCTTGCCCCTCCCCCTTCTTCTCCCCACTCATAATCACTAGCTTGTTCTTTATATCTGTGAGTCTGTTTCTGCTTTGTTATATACATTTATTTGTGCTAGTTTTTAGATTCCATGTATAAGTGATAACAGAGAGTATTTGTTTCTCTGTCTGACTGATTTCACTAAGCATAACACCCTCTAAGTCCATCCACATTGTTGCAAATGGCAGAATTTCAGTTTTTTATGGCTAAGTAGTACTCCATAGTATATATACACACATATCTTCTGTATCGATTCATCTGTTGGACACATAGGTTGCTTCTATATCTTGGCTATTGTAAGTAATGCTGCTATGAATATTGGGATGTATGTATCTTTTGTTTTCATCAGATATATACCCAGGAGTAGAACTGCTGGGTCATATGATAGTTCTATTTTTAGTTTTTTAAGGAACCTCCGTATCGTTTTCCATAGTGGCTGTACCAATTTATATTCCCACCAACAGTGTATGAGGGTTCCCTTTTCTCCACATCCTTGCCAACACTTGTTATTTGTGGCCTTTTTGATGACAGCCATTCTGACAGGTGTGAGATGATATCTCATTGTGGTTTTGATTTGCAATTCTCTAATAATTAGTGATGTTGAGTATCTTTTCATGTGCCTGTTGGCCATCTGTTCATCTTCTTTGGAAAAATGTCTATTCAGGTCTTCTGCCCATTTTTTAATCGGGGTGTTCAGAGATGGTATTTTGAACATTACCAATGTGCTTTACTTATTTTGCTATTTCAGAGGAAGGGAGGAGATGGTATTATTGGGAAGGCGTGTCAATTTAATTTATGTATTTCTAATTTATATCTTTTATGATATTTCTTTTCTTCATAGCCCTGTAAGCCCCACCACCTTAAATCCTTTTTAGAGCAAAGATTTAATTAAATTGTACTGAATTAAATTAATCTCCTCCCCAATAATTTTAAGCCATCTATAAATGCAATTTTGCTATATAACATTGCATTATATAGATGTAACTAAGTTGGCTTATTTCCGATTGTTTTGCTATTGTAAATTAAGTAGGATAAAAATAGTATGTTATCTTAATTGTATTATGGATTGGGAGTGGGGGGCCGGGGTATTGGAATTGCCTTCGTTTAATAAAATAGTTTGGTAAATTGCTAAGGAAGAGAGTCAGATCCAAAGGGATGCAGGCTAGAGCCAGAGCAGTAAAAGAGGTAGCTAAACTGGAACATGGTCTTTTGGCAAATGACAAGAACACAAGGGGGCTGGTGGAAATTTGGCATGCCTCGAAAGCCTCATTTTGGAACTGGCACAACTGTCACTTCCACACGTATACCATTGGCCAGATTAAGTCATGAGGCCAAGCACGAACTCAGTGGGGTGGGGAAGATTACTCCCACCTACAGAGAAGCATGGCAGGAATAGAGAGGGAAGAAAGAATAGGACACAAATACAATCTACTAGTGAAAAGCCCCTAGTGATGGGGGTGACTAAGGCACCCTTAAGAAGAAATATGCCCAATATTCAGTTTGAAGTTGTTGGCATTTCTGTGTGGTAAACTCCCCTTACTTGCCTGTATTTGCCACAGTCTGCTATGTGCACAAATAGCTGATGGGAGTGGCATTTGTAAAAAATAAGAAAAAGATCTGAGTGTTAACTCTGGGTAAGCATTGCGTAGAACAGCACAACAGGCTTAAGACATCTAGTTGATCCCTATGCTGAATGAATCTAGCAGAAACAGAGAACCAGAGCTGACCATAAGAAGACAAGCCCTCTGGGAATGTGCAGAAATCTTGGGGAGGACATTGATCTTTCCATAATTCATGAAACTGAGATTTTAAGCAATCCTATTTAGATCTTATGGAGCAGGGTATCTCCTTGGAATCAAATCTCAAAAGTGTAATTACTGATCAAAGGGTATGAACTTTTTTCAGGCTCTTGATGAGTAACGTTGAATGACTCATGATGTTAAGTTCAAATAGATATTCAGGATTTTTCCACTTTAAATTGTCAACCATATTAAATACCAAAAAAAGAAAAAGAAAATATAGAACAAGCTTTGAAAATAAGAAAAAAAATATACAAGCAGATGCAGTTACTGAATTAAAACGCTCACTGAAAATAACTATGTTCTGAGCGATTTTATGTTTAAATTTGAAATTCTCTGATTCAGTGTTAATTCCTTAAAGCTTCACAGTTAAACCTGACCTTCAGTCCCAGGGAACCCAGGATGGCTGGTAATCTTACTATGTGGGGAACGGGGGCCATCTATCCCAGACCTGAACTTGGAGAAGGATGAATGTGTCCTCTTTAGAGTTACTTAATGTGTTTGGTTGAGAAGCAGAACCTGAGAGAGTCTCTTGTTTAAGTGGTTTATTGAGGGTGTGTTCTCAGATGAGGGGGAGGGAGGGAAGCAGGATAAAGCAGAGGAAGACCACTAAGCAAGAATGTGGTGTTCAGTGAAGACTGACTTCAGCCTGATCCCACGAGGAGCTCTAGAATAGGAACTGCACCTCCTTGAGGTGAGGAATCAGTCTGCTGTACCTCCACACAAGCGAGATAGCAATTCTGTTCTTGATCAGATCTCAAAATTAAAGTGCATCAGAATTACCTGGAGGACTTCTTAAAACAGACTGCTGGGCCAGCTCCCTGTTTCTGATTCAGTTGGTCTGAGGTAGGGACTAGAGAATTTGTATTTCTAACAAGTTCCCAGGTATTGGGGATGCTGCCGGTCTAGGGATCACACTTTGAGAACTACTGCTCTAGATAAGAGGACAGTTGTGAGGCTTTAGCAGCCAATACCCACAGCATCCGGGAAAGGAGATCTGAGCGCCGTCTACTCCAGGTATACTAACTTGGCATCTTCCTCATGAAGGCACACACCAGGGCTAGAAGATTGGACCACAAGCTGAGGCTGGGTAGATTACATTTTTAGGTCTGTCTAGACTCATGACATCCTATTATTTTCCTGTTGTCATCCCGCATCTCCAGCCAAAGCATTGTTGAAACATTCCAGTTCACCTCTGCCTTGCTATTGGACTTCAAGGGAAGGGTCTGGCAGGTACATGAGGCTTTAAAGAGGAAACAGCTGCACCTCTCTAGGCAAGTACAGTGGAGTCAGTTGCAATGAGTGGAAAGTCCTCAAAGGGGAAACACATATTTGGGGGCAAGACAAGTAGACCACCTTGGAAGTTTTTGATGTCTGTTTGTTTTTAAAATTAAAGGAAGATGGCTTTGGAAGGCAACCTTTAATTTCGTAAGTCCCACCAGAGCTCGTAACAAACAGCCCCCACCCCTGGGGATCACCACCAGCTGAAGCTGAAGGTATAGAAGTAGTCGGAGACCTTGGCCGGTAATGGACTGTTGTGTGAATAGTGTACCTGGTACCCTTGGGCATTAATGTCCATGTTCATGCAGTCCAGGAGGTCCCTGATATCCAGGGCTGCCTTCCAAGGCCCGAATTTGACCACTGACCTCTTGTCCGCCTCCAGGGAGCGCAGGGCGTCCGCGCAGTTTGCATCATCCTTTTCGTTTTGTACCAGGCACACCAGAACTCTAGAGCAGCGCGCCGCCACGGCCTCAGCACGCGCCAGGCGCACCATAAGCTCCAGGTTCTCACTGTAGCCTGGCACCTGCAGCAAAAACTGCTTCCGAGCTACCTGCTCACCAAAGATCTGTGGCATGTCCTCCAAGAGTTTGATTAAAGGCTTGATTTCGTAGAACTGAGCCTCACGGTACACCTCGGGGATGTGCTGTGTGGGCAGCTGCCCACTGCGCAGATATTCCAGGATGGGTCCAAAATAGGTGCCGCAGCGATCGATGAAGAAGCGTCCCTCCGCATCCAGGCAGGCCTTGGCGGAGCTGGAGAACATCTCTGCCAGCTTTGAGCCTGGGAGTTTTCTCAGGGTGCCCAAGGTGGTGGTATAGAACTCACCCCCAACGTTCAGCTCCACTACAGGAGATTCCTGGGGGCACAAGAGGCAGAGTGAACCCACAGCGCCATCTCCAGGGAGCTCATGATTTATTCTCATCCAAAGAACAATACCCTACAGAATTTAGGGGAGCCATAATGATTGGCTTCAGCTTATTGGAATGTCCATCTTACTGAAGGGGGTTATATTTATGCTGTACAGCTACAGAGAGTAGGCATTTTAAGGAAGAAAAATATTTTAGTTTGATATAAGAATACCCATTCAAGCATTTGCATTTTCTCATTTAGGTCACAGAATATTAGTGGAAGCAAGTCACACGGACAATACCTCTAAAGCGTGTGGCCTGTGGCAAGGCTTTTCCCCTCCCTAGGCCTCAGTTTCCTTGTTTATAAAGTGAGGATATGGGGACTTCCCTGGCGGTCCAGTGGTTAGGACTCTGCGCTTCCACCACAGGGGACACCGGTTCAATCCCTGGTTGGGGAACTAAGATCCCACATGCCATGTGGCACGGCCAAAAAATAAATAAATAAAATATAATGAGGATATGGAGCTATTGTGAAGTCAAGAGTTCCTGACAGGGATGCTTAGATATAAGATACAGTAAAAAAAAAAAAAAAAAAAAAAAAGTGGGTGGGGGGAGGTTGGGGGGTGCAAAACATTTTCAACCTTTCAGAAAGGCTAAAGAAATCACACATGTATTCATTCAGGAATCATTTCTTTGGTACTTACTGCATGTCCACATCCGTGCTGGAAGTGGGGATAAAAATTCTTATTTCATATAGAGCCTAAGTTCTGATTAGCAGTTGGCATGACTTTGATTAACAAATGTAATTTGTTTGATGGGTATTTTTTCAAAATATGGGCCCATGGGATTAAATAACAAGACTGTCCTTGGTGGTGACAAGGTTGGTAACACCAAATACAACAGGCGTAAAACTGCCCCATAAATGGTAAAGTATGGTGCAAATGTAAGTTAGATTTAGCTGTTCATCAGAATTTTTAGAGGCCTCTTCTCTAGATCAGACCTTGGGCTGAGCACTAAGGACGTGGGTGAGACCCATGTGATATCTGCCTGGAAATGCCCACAGGCGAGTGCAGAGAGGGACCTGGAAAGAGACTGAGGGTCGGGCTGCATCTGGGGAATGCTGCCACACAGACCTAACAAAAATACCATAATACTCTATAGCAATTATTACACATGAGGTGATACACCGGTTGTTATCCTTACAAACCCAGCTTCCTGAACAACTTCCATCTTTTAAAATTCACTCACTCATTCAATAAAACACGTATGTGCCTATTTTGTGCCAGGTAGCTGGGACACAGTGAGGAACAAGCAGGACACAGAACCTCCCCTCACAGTCTAGTAACTGTGCAAAGTGCTTTACATACACTCTGCAACTCAACCCTCATAGTAATCCTATGATGAATGTATTAAATCCCCATTTTCCAGATGAAGAAACTAAGGCTTAAGGAGGTGAAGTTCAAGTTGCTTAAGACCAACCAGCTACTAAGCGATAATGTCAGGATTTGAACTCAGGTCTGATTTACCACTTAGTCATTACATAAATTGATTTTCAACCTTCAGACACCTCCACTCTTCAATCCCTATTCATCCAACAGACTGTAGGGAGGACCTATTCCACCCAAGCCTCCTCTGAAGCAGATGGACAGGACAAGGTCCCTGCCCTTGAGGAGCTCATAGGGGAGAAAGGGAAACAGATGGCTTAAATGTGTAGGTGCTGATGGGGAAGACTCAAAGGTAGAAGGGATTGGCTCTTTTTGTAGATGTGTGTTGGAGGTTGTCAGGGAAGGTTTCCTAGGGGATGTGATGGCTGCTGCTGTGGAAAAGATCTACAGTATTAGGGGGAAGGCTGGATTTCCAAACTGGAGACTCCACTCCAGGTCATTACAGGGCCAGGGATAGGGACAGGACTCAGGAATGTCCTTCAGTCAGATTTAGGTGTGACTTCCTTTTCAGCTTGTCTGTGGGCTCTACCTCTAAGATTAAAGTACTGGAATTAAGAGAACTCAAGGCAGCCAAACTGCTGGGGAGAACTGAGTTGCCATGGCAACAGCTCCTACCAAGGGACAGTTCTGCTAGCTGGAATGGAGAAGGGAGAAAAGAGGTTGCAGTCTGACAGCAGCCAAACAATACAGCCCTGAGAAAAATAAGCCCAGAACCTGTGACGCCCTCTTCTTCCCATAAACCTCAAGGCTCCTTGGCAAGGCTGTTTAGTTAACCCTAAGGTGGCTCTGTAAAGCAGGCAGTTAAATGTGAATTTGCAGACTTTAACCCCTGAATGGATCAATGATGGACTCTCATCACTCCTGTACCACTGAGAGCTCTTAACGTCCCCACATTACAGGCGAGGAAAGCTCAGAAAGAGGGGCCACACAGCTAGGAGGTGAGGAAGTTGGAGCCGGGATCAAATCCTTATCAGTCTGACTTCAGGACAGTGTGGATGCCCTACCCCCACCCTCCCAACATCCAGTCGCACCGCTGCCAGTAATTAGCTATGTTCCTAGGGCATCGCACTTCCTTCTCTGGGCCTAAGTTTAGTCATCTATCAAATAGTGAGGCAAAATCGATGAAGAGAACTCTAAGACTCTCCAACTTTGAAAGTTTAATGAATCCAATCACTTCAAATGTTGTTTCTGAAGCTCATTTCCAGATGCTACACAAAATAGTCCCTTGCCCTGATATTCGCAGCCCCATTTCTTTATCAGCCAAGACCTGGGCCCTGTTCCCAAGCTTCCTAATTATGTCCCTTTTCCCTCCATGTTTTCTAAAAACTCCAAATCTCTTTGGAAATCCCAGACCTCCTACCTCATCCATAAATACTACTGTGTGTGTTTCGAGCAGATAAAGACTTCTTTTCCATCCCTCTTCCAGACCACCTGCCCTTCCTCATGGCCCCTCTTCCACACCTGTGCTACCAGTCACCCTGCTGAAGCATTCCTGAGTGGGCAAGCCTGACCCAGGCCCTGTATGCACAGGCCGGGGAAATGTGGTCTTTAGTAGCCTCTGCTGGGTACCAGGCTACTGCTGTCCACGAGGACACAGGGATGAATCAGGCCCAGCTCTCATCCCACCAAACATTCATACATTTCCTTAGGTCACACTTAGTCTAGTCAGTGGAGGGACACCCCCATTCATATGTCTCCCAAGCCCAAGATCTCTCCCCACACCACAACTTTGACCTTTTCCCACTGTACCCTATCTCGGTCATCTGAGCCAGAAACCTAGACTCTAATCTTGCACTCTGCTCCTGTCCTCAACCTCCCCACACACAGGTAATCAGTCACCAAGTCCTGGCCATTCTAAATGTGTGGTCAGTTCCATGGCTCCCAGCTCCCTCGAATATCCTCCCCCAATCCAGTCTCTATTCTGAAACCAAAGCAGTTTCTCTGAAGCGGAAATCCAATCGGGTCACCACCTGCATTAAACACTTCAGTGATCCCACATTTCTTTACAGGTTAACTCGAGACTCCTTAACAAGGTTTACAAGGTCCTTTGCAACCCTGGCAATCAACTACCAGAGCCAACTACTGCTCCCCAACACCAACCCATTCAGAGCAGGCTGGGCCCCACTGCCCCCAGGACTTCACTCATTTAACACCCCCAGTCCCTTCAGTCAGCCCACTCATCCTTCAAGGTAATTCCTCCGGGAATTTTCTGGATAGGTTGTCTCCTTGTGATTTCAGAGGGCCATGTACTTCCCCTTGTCATGGTAGTTACGTCTCTTGTAATTCTGTTCCTTCATCTGTATCCCACACTAGATTGGGAGGATCCTAAGGGAGGACTATCCCAGATTCATCTTTATGTTACCAGTACCTACTACGGTGCTCAGCACACCAGGGATGCTCCATAAGTGTCTGCTGAATTGAACTGCACTTACCCTCAGCACTGACTTACAGGAGCGCCTGGTATTCTGATAAAGGCCAATCTTGCCCTACTTGGCATCATGCACGGTGCTGGCTTCCTCCTTTGCCCGGTAATTAATTCAGACATTTATTGGGTACCTTGAGCGGCCCCTGCCTCTGAGCAGGTGACACTGTCACTAGCCAGGAACAATGAGGTTATCGTCATCCTATTGAAAAGAGCCACAGTCGCCCCACTGCCGGATCTGCTTTCCCTTCCTGCAAGTCTTCAGGATGGCACGTAGCCGGGGAGAGGTTAAATGTTCTGATCCTTGAGTGCTCTGGGCTTTTTCTTGATCCTCCCCCCACCCCCCGGGCCCCCCACCCAAGCCCTGGGAGGGAACGGGCAAGCAGGAGGACTCAGGACCCAGCCAGAGGTCAGGGACAGGCTAGAGAGGGTGGGTGAGGGAATGAATGATACTCTGGCCAGCCCTCAGTTGGGTCTACTCCCACCGGCAGGAGGGGAGGGGCAGGGGAAGAGGAGGGGCAGAGGAAGAGCAGTGGACTGGGGCAAGCCAGGGGACTGAGAGACGAGACGCAAAGAGAAGAAGGAGGAGACAAAGGCAGCCAAGCAGGAAAGAGGGCATAGAGGAGAGACTGGAGTGAGCCGGCACCGGAATCGAGGCTGTGGCGCGGAAGGAGAGATCAAAGCGTTAGGAACTGACCAGGTGAAAAGAGAGCGCCCAGCCGCAGGCCGAGACGGGCGCGCCGGAAGCAGGGAAATTCAGACCCGCGGGGAGGGAAGGACGGGGGGGCCCTGGAAGGAGTGAAAGAAGGGAGAGGCGCGGGGCCGGAGCCAGCAGGGTCTTCTCGTCCACCCCGGGCTTCGCACTCACCGTCCGCCGGCCCGCGGGGGTCACGGCCCGGCGCAACGGCCGGGAATCGGGCTCCGAGGTCAGGCTCATCATCCCGGCCCCGCAGGCGCTGGCGCTGCGCAGCCAGGCTGCCGCTCGCCGGTCCCGCACAGCCCGCCACGTGCGCGGTACTTGTGGCTGGCGGAAGTGCTCCTCGCTCCCGCCCCGGGGTGGGGGGAATCTGTACCCAGGGTGTGGTTAGAACCCTGATTGGGCTGGAGTTGGAGGCCTTGCGGTGAAACCTTAGGCTAGTCACTGTCCCTCTGTTGCCTGGTGTTGCGGGACAGCCAAATGGGGGAGGCAGAGGGAACTGACATTGACGACCTTGAGACTGTCTCCACTCACTACAGTCCTAGGGGTAAAGGATGAGCGACACCCATTTTACAGGTAAGAAGAGTGAGCTTCCAGGAGATAGGGCGGCCAGTTATTCACCTCAGATCAGCTGCTGAAAGTGCAGAGCATGACCAGTGATGCAAAGAGCTAGGTCCCTGTTGTGTGAGTTATTTTGCTTGTTAAAACATAATCCTTATGAAGGGGGGCATTACTCTTCGGTAGTATGGGCCTGCATAATGACCTTCCAAAGAGGACAGTATGGAAAGAGGAGGGGAAGAAGAGTAACCGTACAGTGGGGAAAATGACAAACACAACTTCAGCCAGGTGATCAAGACCAACATCAGAAGTCATAAATCATGATGATAGTATGTATCCTTGATATGATGTGATGAAAATGGCACTTTGCCTCTGTGATCTTCCTCCCCAAAACCCATAACCCCAGTCTAATCATGGCAGTTCCTCAAAAAAAAAAACCAAAAACTACAAGTAGAACTATTATATGATCCAGCAAATCTACTTCTGGTTATATATGAAGAAAATTAAAAGCAGGACCTTCAAGACATATTTGCACACCCGTTTCATAGCAGTATTATTCACAGTAGCCAAGAGGTGGAATATCCATCAGTGGATGAATGATGCATAAGCAAAAGTGGGATATATGTACAATGGAATGCTATTCAGCCTTAAAGAGGAAGGAAATCCTGTCACATGCTACAGCATGGATGAATCTTGAGAACATTAAGTGAAATAAGCCAGTAACAAAAAGACAAATACTGCATGATTCCGCTTATATGAGGTACCTAAAGTAGTCAAATTAATAGAAACAGGAAGTAGAAGAGTGGTTACCAGGGGCTGGGGGGAGAGGGAAAAGGGGAATTGTTTAATGGGTAGAGAGTTCCAGTTTTGCAAGATGAAAAAGTTCTGGAGATCTGTTTCACAGCAATGTAAAAATATTTAACACTACTAAACTATACCCTTAAAAATGGTTAAGATATAAATTTCATCTTATGTGTTTTTTTTTGTTTTGTTTTGTTTTTTGTTTTTTTTTTTTTTCATCTTATGTGTTTTTTAACACAATTTTTTAAAAATATGACTTTGGGTCATAAACTAATGGTACAGAAACTTGGAAAAAATAATAACAATAATAACCAGACAATATCTGGTGGGAAAAAATAGAGCTTTGGAGTGTGACAACTGGGAATGGAACGCTAGACCTGTCGTTTACCAGCTGTGTGATCATCCGTCACTTCCCCTCTCAAAAGAGCCCAAATTTCTTCTTTGTAAAATACATGCAAATACTTACTTTCTGGGTTGTTGTGAGAATTAAGAGGAAAAAAATCTATTGTGTTTCCCAAACTTCCCTGTTGCTAAGACTATCTCAGAATGCTTGTTGAACATCATTCCAGAGTACTGAAACCAAATTACCAAGGAAGGGCCTGGGAACCTGCATATTTAACAAGCATCGTATCATCTTGGAAATTTGGGAAAAACTAGAACGATGCATTTACTGGCTTAGGAAGAATGGGGCTCAGTGAATGTCTGTGCCCATTCCCCCGACTCTATGACAACACCCTTCCAACATCAGCCCATCCAGCCGTGGATAACTTTCCAATCTTTTCTTCCTCCCCATGTGGGTTGTCACTCCATTTCATGTTCACCCAAGAGTTACTGATACTGACCTTAGCTAGGGGTTAGGGGCTGCGGACACAAGTGTGCAAGACATGTCTGTTCCAAAGATATGAACACAAATAACTTTAATAAAAGAGTAAATGAGCATATGAAAATATGCTGGAAGTCCATGTTACTGGAAATCCTCCTACTAAAAAGCATCTCAAAATATTGAAAATATTGAATATATATATGTCTGAGCTCTCAAGAAAGTCAAGGAACTTCGCTGAGGTGCTCTGAGATGTTTGAACACCAACTCCATGGACTCCCCTGGGATTATCTCCAACCCTGAGTAACCTAGAACTTTTATTTTCAGGGGAGAGAGAGTAGGAGACAAAGTCTGGGCCACTCACAGGGTTGGATGTCAGATCAGAGACTATAAAAGGGTAAATTATTAAAAATCCACCACTCAAATGTGAATGCTGTGGAAACATCTATCTCATTCCTCGGTTCTGGGTAGAGAAAAGTCTCCCCTGAAAAATTCTGGCAATAAGCTAGAGCTCAAATAGATCCAGGGTCCAAATATTCATTTTTTTCATGATCAACAAGAGCAACAACAACAAGGAACTTAATTTAAAACGGACCTGGATTGGTAATGCCCCAGATGTCTGACAAAATGAAAACGCTTCCTGGAGGTAAGTGCACAGTCAAACCAAGCCTCAAAGAATTCACACGGATAGCAGTCCAACAAATGCAAGCTCAGAATCAAAAAGTCACCACAAAAGGACACAAGGTACAGTGAGCAAGAGTCAATAGATCCACAAGCACCTCAAATACTGAGATTACTGGGTATAGAATATAAAATAAGTGTTTACTGTGCTTAAATAACTATAGAGAAGGGTGTATTTAAAACCTGAGTGAAGACCAAGAAGATATGATCAGAAATGACCAGGCAGACTTCCCTGGTGGTGCAGTGGTTAAGAATCTGCCTGCCAATGCAGGGGACACGGGTTTGAGCCCTGGTCCGGAAAGATCCCACATGCCGTGGAGCAACTAAGCCCGTGCGCCACAACTACTGAGCCTGCGCTGTAGAGCCCGTGAGCCACAACTACTGAGCCCGCATGCCTAGAGTCCGTGCTCTGCAACAAGGGAAGCCACCACAATAAGAAGCCCGCACACTGCAACAAAGAGTAGCACTTGCTCACCGTAACTAGAGAAAGCCTGCACACAGCAACAAAGACCCAATGCAGCCAAAAATAAATAAATAAAATAAATAAATTTATATTAAAAAAATGACCAAGCAGATTTGAAAAAAGCCAAATAGATCTTCTAGAAATGAAAAATAAAATAACTGAAAAGTTACTGAAAATTACTAGGGGTTGAGAAAATGCAATCAAAGGGAGCAATGTTGTACTATTTTTCATCCATCATTTTGGCAAATATTGAGAGGAATAACAATGTGCCAGAGTGGGTAAGGATGTAAGAAAAGAACTCAAACTTCACTGATTGGATGTGAACTGCTGTGATCTTTTTTGGAAAGCAATACGGCCATAGCTACTAAAATTTAAAAAAAAATACAGATATCATTTGACCCAATATTTCCACTTTTGAGAATCTATTGAATAGAACTAAAAGCACTTCTCTGAAAGGATATATGAACAAATATGTGTATTACTGTTTTGTTTGTGATGGCAAAAATTAGAAATGTAGACATATGGTTGAATAAACCATGGTTTGTCCATGCCGTGGAATTCTATGCAGCTATTTAAAAGAGTGAGGTAGATCTACATCTGTTCACTCATCAATGATTTATTAAGCAATTAAAAATAAATATCAGAGCAGTGTTTACTACGGAAATTCAGTAAAGACAAACATAAACCTCCTCATATAAATTTATATCTATTTATCTGAGCGTATACTCAGAAAAGTGTAGAATGATACACAGTGGGTGTTACCATTGGTTATTCAGTAGGACGGGATAGAAATGAAGAGGGGAAATTATTGATTAAGAAATGTTTTTCTTAATACATGTTTGTATTATGTCACTAGTTGCAGTGAACATGAAAAAGTATAAAAGAGCAAAAGAAAAAAAAAGAAAAGGCAATAACATAACACAAGAAGAAGACATTACAAAAGGAAGTTAGCTTTTCAGTTTGAGGGGCCTGGAAAGGCTTCATGGAAGCAGTGGCACATAAGCTGGGTCTTGAAGCGGGGAGAGATTAGTTGAGAGAAGCCTGCGGGGGTTTCCTCCCAGCAGAGGGGTCACCTGTGCCAAGAAAAGGAGGAAAATGAAAGGAAAATGATCGTGTTGAACACCTGCACTGAACACAGACTCTTGTATCAATTCTTCCAAGCAATTAGACTTACTGTACAGGTGAGGGGACCGAGGCTCAGAGAAGTTCAGTGAATGGCAAAAAGCCACACAGCTGGTAATTGGCAGAACCAAGCTTAAACTCCATGTCTTTCTCACTCCAAAATTCTTTTTCTGTGACTGGAAAGAATTGCTTTGTATCTGGCTGCTATGATCTGAATGTTTGTGTCCCCCCAAAATTCATGTTGAAACCTAACCATCAATGTGATGATGTTAGGAGATGGGGCATTTGGGAGGTGATTAAGTCATGAGGGTGAAGCCCTGAAGAATGGTATTAGTGCTCTTATAAAAAATGAGACCCCCAGAGAGCTCTCTAGCCCCTTCCTTCCACCGTATGAGGACATAGCAAGAAGATGGCCATCTATGAACCAGAAAGCGGGTTTCATTAGACACCGAATCTACCAGCACCATGATCTTGCACTTCCTAACCTCCAGAATGGTGAGAAAAAAATGTTTGTTGTTTATAAACCACCCAATTTACAGTATTTTTGTTATAACAGCCTGAATAGATTAAGACACTGGGCAAGGTGTGTACCTTGAACATTATGACTTGCAAATGGGATTGAGCCATGGGGAGGCAGCTGTGATCTCCTCAAAGCAGGCTTCCCTGCCCGCTGCATCTGGGTTAGGGAGCGTCCCATGGGCCGGCTCCACACGGCACGTGTCCCCCCTTCCCCTTGCATTGTCTGACTCCTCCCACAGGGTTGATCAGCTGCATGGGCCAGGATGATTCCATGGGGAGGCTGAGTTCTGAAGGGTCATCACCCCAGAAAGGAGGGCCGGACAGTTGGAGGGACAGTGGGCACTTCTGACAGCACCAAGAACCCTGGGCGCCATTTCCTGTTTCTCCCCCAGCTCCAGCTGCCCTGAAACAACCTGCTCTCCTATGCTTTCTTGCTTTTGTTTATGTTGTTCCTTGTGCTCAAAATGCCTTTCCCCACCAGCTTCTCCTCTCTGGAAAACTCCTACACAGCTTTCAAGACCCAAGTCAAATGGCCCTCTTCCTTTTATATCCATTAGCACATTTGACCCTCACCATTCAAAATAGGAATTAGCACCTCCATTTTATGTATGAGGACCCCAAGGGTCCCAGAGATGAAGTGCCTCTTTAAGAGTCCTTCAGCAGCAGGAGACAAGAGACCGACTGGGGTTCCAGTTCTGGCTCTACCATTCGTGTGTAATCTTGGCCAAATCCGTCTCCCTCTCTGGGCCTCAGTTCTTCACCTGTAACGTGGTGGGGGTTGGGATATTGTTTGAGATGGTCTCTGGGAAACTGTCTGGCTTGATGCTATGGCAACAAAAGAATTCAAACAGTCCCTTGGTGTTGCCTAAAACTGGATCTTGTTTCCCTTTGGCCTGAATCCAAGAGCAAGCACTGCTTCCCTCTGCCCTCCTCCCACGCACCCTACTCTTTGTTCTTCTTCCTGAGACAAAGCTGCCAGCCCCTCTCCTCTCCAGGCTGCTGGGCTTT